ATTCCGCGGTGCAGAATTCAAGTTGCTATGCTGCAGCAGCTGCAGGAAGACGTTCAGTCCAGCAGTGTGCAGCAGCTTGGTCTCTGTCGTCGTTTGCATTTCGGCGTGCGGCCGTCCTTCTGTTTGGGGAATTGGCGATAGAAACGATCGACCGTCCTCCTTAATTGGCCTTGCCAACGATTACTTAATTACCCTCTCACCTAAATTATGCAAATGACTAAAATGACTGTAGAAATCAACGGTGAGATTTATTCCTACTACACTACTATCACCTCCTAGTGAAAGGTACAGGTTGGGACAGACTTTCTGTCCATTGATTGATATTTTTTTTGAACGACTCACCGCCATCGCCACCAGCTGTGAACGCTGTCACCGGTCACCATCCCGCCAGATCCAGGCTCAGATCTGGTAGTCTCCTCCACGGCCGCCACACCTCCACACGCCACCTGCAGCACCGCCAGTCACCGCCGCCCCACCGCTCGACCCCGCTGCCGGCTGCCTCCCCACCAGATCCGGCCGGGAGGCACGGATCTGGGAGATTTCCGCCACCCCAAGCAGCACCCCTCTGCCCGAGTGTGGCGCGAAGATGAAGCCTCACCGCCGCCGTCCTTGTGGCCGCGCGGCTTTAGGGAACGTGCGCCGGCGGGGGCGTCGCCTCCCGTGTCGCCTAAGGGGGAGGGGCGATGCGAGAGTCTAGCAGCAGCTGGCTGGTTATATATATTCACCAATCTGTTATAGTAGCCATTGATTGATATGGTCAGAGATAATATATCAACAGCGCATGACTTTGCAAAAAGGAGCTTTATTAATTATTAACAATTCCTCGAGGTCTCCCATATTGGGTGACCTTCCCTTGTTACATCCAATCCAAATATAGGAATGTAAGGCATCAGCTAAAGTTATAGCAGATGCTGATGTTAGTCACGCCGCTCCTTCTCTGTTCTTTAGAGGAAAGAACATTGAATTGGACTGCTGTAGTCTGGGTCCATGATCTACTTGTTCATTGCGCACAAAGATATTCGATCATGGAGGACAGGTTTTTTGTCATTTGTTTTCACTGCATGCATGCTGTACATCTTAGTTACAAGACAGTTGTAGTGTAAATACTTAGTAATATCATTACATGTCTTGTGCCCTCTAGAACTCTAAACGGCAGTTCTATGGTCTTGATTTCCAGCTAAGTTAGGTATGGGAGGCATCAAGAAATTGAGAATGAATGGCCACTCAAGGATGATGAATAAGAACCCCCCATACTAGTAGTCAGCTTGGTGCATGTTTTCGGTTGCAAACATCTTACCTGTAGCTTGCATGCTGGATGTTGCTATATTGGCCTCTTTGGTAGGCTGAATCACTAGCAGAAATACATGAATATAATGGATGCATGCAAGGGAAATGTTATTTCCTCACTATGCAAATGAGCGATGCTCAAGCAATGCAGGTGTTCACGTACAAACAGTGAGACACAATGCAGGAACATTCTGGGTCACTCTCCTTTCCATATGCATCTCCCACTTTCTCCATTCCCCTTCTTGCCTTCTCTTTGTTCACGATGTCACCAACTAGAAAACCTATTGGTTGTCTGCCTTTTGGTAGATGCCGGAGATGTAAATCATTTTCTATTTTTCATTAGATAAGTATTAAGGAACTGTTCCATTGATGTGATTGACGCAGCTTGCAATTGGAGAGTTAGTTTTCCTGCATGATCTTACCTACAGTGTGCAGTCACGCAAAGTGAGCTTTTGTCCAATCTGGACATAATCTGATTGGTTCTAAAACATTAAGGCATGTTGCAGTACAGAGGTTTTCTTTGGCAATCTTCCCTGGGTCTCTTGTTTTTTATGTTTCACATTACTGGTTCTGATAAGCATTCTACCTAAATAAATTGGACTCCGTAAGTCAGAACATGTATATCAGCATGTGGGAAGAGCACCCCTGACCATTGCCTGATCCTACCAATCTACCATAGCCATCGGAAAGCTCTTCTGGTGTTTACCATGGAAATGGAAGACATGAGGAATTCTCATCATACAAATTGGATAAGATCGTCCGCATCTGCTAAGGGAAGACAAGAGATCTAAAACGCTGCGATGATTGTAGCAGTGCGAGTAGCAGCGAGCCTGAGACTCGAGAGGATATCTGCTCCTCCATTGCTCCATCGCCTTATTTCCAAAATGGATTGGTTCACTTGTGCATCTTGTTGCTCCTTGGTTCTTCCTCCATTTTTTTTTGCTACAGAATGGTTCATTGTTTTTCTTCCTATTATTAGTTTACTACAAGATGTTGCTTATCACAGGTTGTATGGAGTAACTTATTTTTCTTTTGAAGAAGGAAGTAACTTTATTTCCAAGAGGTCAATTTTGTGCTGAGATGCCTTGGGAGGAAGATGATCAGCTGGAATTTGACTGGGTTGAAAGGGCATCCTCTTGTACCTTTGACTGAGTTGCATGTGCAACCGGCTTGTTAGCACTCCGAATAAGTCATTGCACAATAGAGTACACTAATCGAGCAAATCTTAAAATTATGTTATCAAACCATATGCAGCTGTAGACAAACATAGCGCCGCTGTAGATGAACAATAATAGGACAGAACTGAGAAGTAAATGTTCAACCTTTGGAATCTCTAATAGTTGCTCTGATTCGACTTTTGGTAGCATACATTTTGACTAAAATTATAAATTAGAGATCACAAGAACTAAGAGAACTTCACATAGACTACAGCCCATAGCTATCAAATGCATATCAGCCCCAATCATGCGAGGGGTGATGTTTACTGTACAATAGAAAGTAGGAACATAAGTCAAACGCGCACACGCTTCGCTTGTGTTCCAAAAAAAGGAACACACACACGCGCGAATGCCTCGCTCGCTTGGCTCGGGCTGGAGTGGCATGCGTACGCAATTTGTGCGTGAATGGTTTGTAAAAATTGGCTCCTCATGCTTGCATAAATGCAGCTTCCTTTTACAGTTTTATTTTGTTGCAAAATTTGGTGCTCATTTTTGGAAACACACCAAGTCATCTGGTGCGTGGAGCGGTGTGGAGTCCGGTTAGGTTACATGCGATCTCTCTAGTTCGGTTACACGTTATGGAGAACGTCTAGGCGTCTTGAATCACATTTTCTATTATTTCTATATAAACCGAGCCACCTTCTTCTAGCATCACACACGAAAACAATCTAGGGTTTGCCTCCTCCTCCGAAATGTGCCATCACTCGTAGTCCACTCTATCCAGCTAGACAGCATGCACTCGCGATCACGAGAGCAGGTCTCCAGAAACTTTGCCTTCGACGTCCTACATCGGGAGAAGATGCTAATAAGGTTTTCGGAAAGCACTTTGCAGGACTGGTCACTGGTCTTCCACAACGGCTCATCTTCCTCTATGTTTAAGGGCTACACGTAGACAACAAAACCCTGCACCTCGCGTTGTTCTTGCGGTGCGGGCTGCTCCCCGTCAAGTCGATCCTATTCTGCATTCACCATGTGCTACAAAGCCAATCTGTTCATGTTCTTCTGTTTAGTTTATATGTTTAAATCACATGATATGGTTATGTTTATTTACATGTTCAATGTCATGATTTATTGAATAAATTAAATCTACACGTGCTTATATTTTCATCAGTGTCGTCGTTATCCCTACTGCATAATGGTGTCTACGATATCTGTGTCTAAAAATCAAGGTTCGATCATTGCCGGCAGCTGTTCTAATGATCACCATTCATAATTAATGGAGAAAGCACTCTAACTGTCCAAAAGCTTGATTCAGTACAAACGCTTTAAGCATCCTGTATTTCTCAGCTGAATTCAATTTCAAATAATATATTAATGGCATATGTGCTACAAGTACAACAATAAGAAAGACAATATGAAGAAAAATTAAGCCATCTTAGATTGATCACTAAAGTAGAGTTAGGTAGGACAATTTGGCCTCTTCAGATGGCCACCATGTGCAAAAGAAAAAAAATTGAGAAATACATAATGCACAAGCAGTGAAGCATAGCCCATGCTTATTTGTAAAATTTGTATGTGTCTCAGACCACTAGTAAAAAGGTAGGTCAGGAAAAAAAAAGTGAAACAACATACAGGGGTCAGTATAAAAAGTGATGGAAGAAAGATCTCGGGCTCTCATGTTCTGTAAAACACAACACAATGAAACGGTACCCTAGATTCATCGCTTTCGGTTATGTATGATATAGGAATGATTGGAATCAGGAATACTGCTTGAATTTGGTTATCAATTTATGCATGTTTATCAAAGATTACCCTGCCTAGCGAGTATAATCTCCCTTGCTCAACTTCTTCCAAGAGGATATGATCTCCCTTCTTGGATTTCTGCGTCTTTGGACGATGCGTCAAGAAGGCTAGCATGCTTACTTTATGTGCCTGTCCAGCTGATTACCCAACGAAGATGTTTAGATGTTGGACATTAGTGTCAATTTATTGTAATTGTAAGCGTTAACTACTCTTTTCCTTGGGGAGTTAAGAGAAATACTACCGCCTCTGAATATACTTTCTTTTACACAAGCGTTTTGCTGCGCCAATTGAAGAGTTATTTTTCTATAGCCTGGTGTTAAATTGCAGTGCAGTCGATCAGAGTCTGCTTCTGTTCACTTTGGATAGAACTAATAAGCACATGATGAAACATCAAGGCATAAGTACAGACATGTTTGACAGTATTGGCACTTGATATGAATATTATTACATTAATGTTGCAGTATACAGAGGTTCCTTTCACAACCTTCCTTCTGCCTAAGGCTGAGGGTCTTATTTAAAAAGTTTTGTGAAATATATAAAACTATATGCATACATGAAAATATATTTAACAATGAATCAAATGATAGAAAAATAATTAATAATTACCTAATTTTTTTTAATAAGACGAATGGTCAAACATGTGCTAAAAAGTCAATGGTGTCAAACATTTCGAAACGGAGGGAGTATGTGTGTGTGTGTATATATATTCAGTTTGATTTATAATTAAACTGTACAAAAAATTTGACAATTTGACCCTTGAGGAAACTTGTTTCAAAAATGCACCACGAGTAAAACTTTTTTTAAAAAATGAATCGGGAATTCAGCGTGGTGTTGAGATTAGACCGCTCGGAGCCAGGTCAACTGGCGCTGAATGATGTGTCCTCGTGGTGCGGATGCTAACTCAGCCTACCGACGTGGCAAAGGTCAGCTCAACCTGCCACAGTGCTGATGGGCCCGCCATCAGCGCTAGGCTTGTTGTCGCCGATGTAGGAAACTTTTATCCCCACCCTACAATCTTTCGTATAGCAATATGAGCAAAGAGAACCCTACATCCCAAATCAATAGTATTAAGAAAAATTAACATCATTGAGAAAGTATCTCCAAGAAATCCACACAAAATCTGTGCAACAGATAGGAAATACTTTTGCAACAGGAATTCAGATACCTTTGCAACCACATTTGAAATTCAGATATTTCGCTATCAAAACCATGTTCATAATTAGTGTTGTAGATCTCATAATTGCTCTGGCTATTGTTTTTGCCAATATACATTCAGAAAGAAATCACAAATTGGACACCAGAACTGAGAACTTCACATAGACAGAAATTGCCTCCATCTAGCAAAGTACATGAGCCCCCTGTCATTCAAGAGGTGATGTTTACAGTAGGAATAGAAGTCATCTGGAATGCTAGCGATGCATCTGAAGTCTGAACCATTTCCAAGCAATCCTATTATTCAGGTGCCTTGATTTAAACATTCAGTGGAAAAGAGTTTTTACTATAAAACAGTCAGTTAATTCTTCCATGAATAATAACGGTTCAGTTCTAAATCTTGGATATGAACTTACATATATATCTATCCAAAAATTAAACAACCCGGTCTTTTCTACCTATATCTCATGCAGAACTTGATCTATTTCAGGTGTATCGAACCAGCGTGGAGCAGAGTGCCTCAATCCTGGCTCACAACTCTAGCTGTGAAGGTTATTAATGATCAAGAGAATAAACATTTGGCAAGATATTAGAAGCACTAGAAGACTAAATAAGTTTTGATAACTGTTGAACACAGTCACTTAAAACCAATTTATACAGGGATCAGAACGTAATTTAATTTGCTATGACAAGCATAGTAAGTTTCAATAGTCTGAGACTTTGAGTAGACAGTTCAATGCAGTCTTCTTTTTCTTTCTTTGTGACAAATTGGACCGAATATCTTGTTTTCAGTAACTGCAATGATTTGCAGGGACATTCATGGAGCAACTGGTGTGTAATATAGATGAATGAATTCACAGTATATGGAATGTTCAAAAGGCCGAGGTCATTGGTGGATGAACTGGGAAGCGGTTGACCAACTCAACTAGGATGGTAGTGCCTGATGGAAAAGGCTATACTACTTTTTTTCTCGCAAAACTCTTATTACCACTGGGCCAAATTATTTCAGGACTGAATTCCTTTTTCATTCCACATGACTGTTGTAGATATCAAATTCATTTGCTTCAAAATGTGCCGCATAAACATAGAAATAAAACATTTTTGTTAATTCCCCTTCAACACATGCTATGGTGCCACAGACAGGAAGGTAGGTCTGCATTATTCATTATGCTGAAAGTAGAAGCTAATAAATTCCAGTGTTATATATATAACATGGTAGCTTTTGTCAACCAGATTCGCTAATACTCCCTCCGTTTCGAAATGTTTGACACCGTTGACTATTTAGTACATGTTTGACCGTTCGTCTTATTTAAAAACTTTTGTGAAATATGTAAAATTATATGCCTACATGAAAATATATTTAACAATGAATCAAATGATAGGAAAAGAATTAATAATTATTTAAATTTTTGAATAAGACGAACGGTTAAATATGTGCTAAAAAGTCAACGGCGTCAAACATTTCGAAACGGAGGGAGTATATTCTATTGACAGATAACATGACTAGAAATAGAGGCCAAAAGAGATATCACTTGCTGAGAGTTGCAGTTGAAGTTGGAGGAGAGGATTCCATCATGCATGTATCAGATCAAAGTTATCAAGTAGTAGCATATATACACCCAATTTGCCGTGGTTTCTTTCCAGTCGGACATACGAATGGAAGTCATCAGAAACAATTCTATTGCACACAGGGTCACTGACAGAAAGAGCGTTGGTTTAGCAGCATCTGCGTTGGTCAACTGCACAGACGTTTCATCTCCTCTTCCATTTTCCAGAGATTTCCTCCGTGGATTCCCAAAGCTATAAAATCTTGGCCAACTTCGTATTAAGGGAGAGGTTAAGCTCACAATGTCAGGGATTTGAGGGGCTGTGCATGCAGTCAATACTCAATACTGATGTAGCCATATCACAACAGGCAAAAGTGTTTGTTGCATAGGAATTTCATGGTCTAACTATAGTTTCATACTAGCTAGTTGATCAAAATTTTACGCTCACAGCTCATTGAAGATAAAGTGAGCACCAGATCGATCAGTGCCACGGTTGGTCTTCAGTTCTTCAAAAATACGAACAGAAGGAGCACCTATCCTTTTTAGTAATGGGAATAATTTCATAAATAATTGCTCAGCTAAAATTTTACGGCAATTTACATTCAGATAGAAATTATAAAATGGAGACTAGAAGAGGGATCTTTCACATAGGCACAATGCAATTTCCCCCATCTAGCAGCGCACGTCATCCCCCGATCATTCATGTGGTGGTGTTTACCGTAGGAATAAAAGTCATCTGGAATGATAGGTCATACTTCACAGCTCTTCATTGCTGAGGTGTATGATTTAAGAATTCAAATTGCATATAACCTTTTTACTGTAAAATAGTAATCTTAATTCTGTGAGTAGTAACACTTCGGTGCTTGCTCTGACATGAGTTCAATCTTAATGTAGCATGACCACTGCATTACGCAACGAAGCTTGAAGTCTGAATTTCAATTCAAAACTGTAATATCGGAGATATCGGCAGGAAAGTTCATGTGCATCATCAATTGTTTTTGGTCCAAATCCTTGCCAAAAATGTGTTATTTCATTGCATTATTTATCAAATAGTTTGGATTTGAAAGCAGTACATATATAACAGTAACAGACATGAAAATTGGTACGAGATATGCGTGTATCTCTTCTCAGCACCAACTCAAGAGATCAGAGCAATCAGCTGACATTCTAATTTACTAGCCGTGTTGCATAGCAATTTTATCATCTAAGAATGAGCTTCATAGTACGATATCAATTATTCCTACACTACATCTATTTGAAACGGTAAGGTCGAAAAAAAAAGTAGAGATGAGGTGAACATTGGCAGCATATTTGATGTTCACCCAATACCAGTCAAGGAACAAGTGCTGCAGTACAGAGACAACTATATCTCAGCTTCACTGATTTTTTGTAGGTCCAGAAATCTGAAGCTGATGTTTCACCCTAGGCAATCTGCCATGTTGGTAAAACCCTGTTTCGATTTTTCGTCAATATAAATTCACATAGGAATTCTAAATTGGAGACAAGAATGAAAACATCTCAATCTTTTGAAAGGATCACAATTGAGAACTTTACTTTATAGGATCGTAAAGGGCATTTCCCACTTATAAATTAGGTCTTTTGCACTTCCACAACTAATATGCGACTATTCAACACACTTAGCCAGTTGCCTTTGCATGTCCCCAGTTCAAGTGGTGAAATTTATGATTTATCATAGGAATAGAAAGTCATCTGATCCGGAATGGCAACGATACAACGGAATCCACTTCAAGCAATCCTATTGTAAGTGATTTGATTTAACATTTCACAATTTTACAGTGCTTTTACTACAAAATAGTTGGTTTAATTCCTTGAGTAACACCAGTTCCACTCATGCGTGAACTGCTTTGGCAAGCTCAATCCATCATGTATTTGTAATTTCTTTAGGAATCAGGGCTCAATGCAAAATTACCAACTGCGTGATTGATTAAGCAACACAGAACACACTGATCCGCCTGCGAATTGACCTCTAATCACTCAATCACAACTGCAAAGCAAACACAGCGAAAAAATGGATGCAGCACTTGCATAATAACTGCATTTATTGCTAGTCAAAATGCAAACCCATGTTATTAGAAAATTAGTCACGATAGTATATTCCATTATGGCCCATCTAACATGGGTCTCATGGACCCACAATAACATTCGAGCCCAATGCATATGGGTCTCCATGCTGCTATTAAGGCCCAACTGAGATATATATGGGCCAAAATATTTAAGACGTGTGCGGTGGATTCGTTATGGGTCTTGTAGGTCCAAATGTAAAGACTTTTGTCTTTGTCCTATCCAATAAAAGATAGTTCAGATGGTACATTAATACTTGTTTTCTCAAAACACAAAAAATGATACATACTAAAACAATTTTTTACCCTTGAACACTAGTGCAACAAATACAAGTTAGGACATGTTACCTCTTCAATTTCCATGTGGAAAGCAGGACACACCATAATTTAATTCTAGTTATATTGCTAGACATATGCTCTTTAAAGCAAAAGTGAATAAGTGATCAGTGATCAGCTAATATAAATTCAACTGGTAAATAATTAAACAACATGGCTATAAATACTGCAACATATCCTATGCACACACTTATCCTTGTGCACTCATGCACTCGATCACTCTAGACCATAGGATCTCAAAGAGGTCATCTCTACTGCTGAAGAGAAGTTGAAGGATCAAAGAGTAGATGCATGCTTCAGCTTCCATCAATCAATCACTACAACCATCTTCACCAACAGGCTGTTCATTTCTTTCCTATGTGATATACCACTACTATAGAAATGGTTTTTGCAGACAGCCAAAAACGGTCTTCATATGCGAAAAGGTCTGCGAAAATCGAGTTTTTCGCATGCGGATCCTACGAATGGTAGTCATTAGGAAGGAAAGCACAACATATGGAGTATGATGGGGTAAACAACTGCGTCATGGAGGGAGGCATCAGCCAGATCCTCGCCGGCAGCGCAAACCAAATTCCCCGCTGAAGATTTGAAGTTGCTACGCCCCTACAAGTTCAGGAGGAGCTTCTGTTTAGCAGCATGCTTTCTCCGGCTCTCTTCCATCGATTGCATTATTCATCAACTCCTCCAAGCTCATTGATACATTCCAAGAGGGTTAACAAAGGTCTCGGAAGATTGTTTAGCTAGGGCCCTCTCAACAGTTCAGGAGATGTAATAATATCCGTATGCATATAATTTGGAGGCGATGGATGTGATTGTATGATCTGTGGGAGTCGGACAAGAATTAATGTGTGTGATCTTGCTCAGGATTTGCATTTTCGATTTCGGCCAAAATTTCGGTGATTTCGGTTGGACCAAAATTTACGAAATTTCGTGATTTTTGGCACTTTTTGGACCGAAATTTTTTAAAATTTAACAATTTTTTACTGTATTTGAATAAAGTTTGGCTAAATTCAAAAAACATTTGAGAAATTCTGAAATTTTTGGTCGATATATTGATTTGCCGGTGGGGTCCGAAAATTCAAACCGAAATTACAATCACTGATGTTGCTACCAGAAGAGAGCAAGGTTTTTTCAGTATTGGCACCATATTTTTTTTTTATAGATCCGGCTCCTTGGTCGGATGAGTTATGTCTAACAATAGTTGACACCTAAAATGGGTGAAAATCATATTTAACATCGAGATTAGCACAAGTAGCAGCTGCAGTAGATTTTGAGGCGTTTTGAGAAAAACACCTTCTAATGACAATAATATTGAAGGCATGAATTAAATTTGCCTTGTAATTAATTTTTTTTAATAAATGGCTCCAACAATATGCCTTCAAAATCTCATCCATCCTGTAGTGACATGGGCTCATTGTCAGCATGCCAAAAGTATTTGAGGCCTGAGAGGATGAAAGTATAATATATTATGCCCAAATTTGTAGATGGATCAGAATTTCGACCGGAGCCTCTGGAATTGAGGCTCACACATGTGTGTCAGCCCATTAATTCAAACAACGACGCCCAATTAGCCACCCATGCTGATGATGATCAAATGATAAAAATTATGCTTCTCGTTATTTCCTCCTAACTTCTGCCATATGTACTTCATGCATAGATTTATGCATGTGATGTCATCAATCAAAAGCAGTAACGGAAAGTGAAGAACACAGCTACCACATGACATGATCACTGTTGTACAACGATCCTTTCTTCTTCTTTTTTCTTTTATGAAAAAACGTCTTGCCAAGGCGGTCTTGGCCTTTAATTTTGATTGCTATGAAGAACCTCCAAGGCTGCAAACACCCTCTTTCTTCCGTTTTTAACTACTCCCTCCGTCCCTAAATATTTAACACCGTTGAATTTTTTTAACATGTTTGACCGTTAGTCTTATTCAAAAACTTTTGTGAAATATGTAAAACTATATGTATACATAAAAGTATATTTAACAATAGTTAACTTTTTTAAACATATTTGACCGTTCGTCTTATTCAAAAATTTAAGTAATTATTAATTCCTAAGGGAAAAGAATGAATTTCTCAGCCCATCCATTATGAAACGACACTATAACAGCTGCTATAAATGGAGGCTAAAACAGATCCCCAGTGGTGCTGAGGTACGGTTTGGTTAATGGATGAGAGAGCGAAGCATCATGCATGTTGCAGCTTCCATCGATCTTGAATCGACCGTCGCAAACCAATCATATATATGTAATCTGACTCGACTTGATCTCTTTCTGACGTCATCAATGAATTCGAAATGGAAGTCATCAGGAACCAAATTAGCACAATAGGATTCCAATCAACCAGATCGTCGCCCACAGATCACTGTAGAGAATGCAGTTTGCTGTGGTACTTATGCATCGGTGGGAGGAAGTTTGGTTTAGCAGCATGCTCTCACTGATGCTCTTCGCTTCTCTGCATTCAATCTGCTGTATTCAAGAGCTCGTGCAGACGTCTAGGATTGTTAGTTCTGCATGACCTGCTTGGCTGTTCTTAGGAGAGATGTGACAAAATTATGCCGGTAACTTAATTATCTCGTTACAAAACGTATCGGTGAGAAGAAAACAGTGTACATACGCTGTAGAAGAACTTACACATGTTTAAACTCTGTTTTGAGTCGAGTCAAATTTACCACGAGAACTGCATTATGCACTGCTGCTTGAAATTTGAAACTACAATGTTGGAGAAATTGATAGAAATATCCAGTTGAAGTCATAAACATTTGTCTGGAGTCTTGACCTCGTCACAATGAGTTTTGCGTTATTCATCAAAGAGCTTAGACCGGAACATCCAATACAAATTAACCAATTAACCATGGTTGTCCAGGCCTATTTAAACCTATCCAATACAAATATACAATACAAAATCATCGAAGCACTCCTGGCCTCTCTCTTCCGAGTACCATATACGTACATTCGATTTTTTTTTCTGTAAGATTACGTGTCCATTCGATGCTGATCAGCATATAAATTTGAGGCAACAGGCAACAGATTTGAGCATATATGCATATTGAGACAGTGAGAGTTGATGAAGAAAGTGTGGAATCTCGCTTCCAGCAAAGAGCAAAATCTATTTGTCATACATGAAAACAAACACAAACAGTGTGGGCATGGAAGGTATCAGAGCTACTATAAATACTTCCAATCTGTTACCTTCATCCTGAGTGCCATCTGCTGGATGTTCAGAAACTTATGCTGGCAGAAAGATCATTTTTCACAGCGGAGAAGGCGATGCAGCGGCTGCAGGAGGTTTTGTTTAGCATCTTGCATGCTGCGAGTCTGCGACTGAGTATCTCCCGTTGTTTGCATTCTTGTGTGCAAACTCTCTGCGACTGAGCATCGGTTCATAATCCTATGCCAAGCTTGTGCAGTGGTTTTTGGATGTTCACTAATAAGCCTGCACTACTAGGATGGGAGAGGCTCCCTAGTGTCGAAAACACTCGGTAACAATGCCAGGACGCTAGGTAACTACTTCAAACACCCAGTAATAATGTTGCAGAGTGGTACAGCACGCCCGGGAGTGATACGAGGTTCCCGTGCTGTCTTTCGGTGTGTTTTCTGAAAAAACACTCCGTAACAGTTGGGAGGTTACGGAGTGTCTACAATACACTCTGCAAAGTTCCACTAACGGCATGATGACTATCCAAACGGAGACACTGAGCTTCCCGAGTTTTATATATTGACACGTGGACATAACGGGTATAGCCACGTCAACAGCACGTTACGGTGTGTTCTTAGCTGCCACTCTGTAATATCAAAAATCATTACCGCGTGTCCTTTTGCTTGCACCACTCGGGAAGCACTAATAGAACCATTTTTTAAAAAATATATGCATTTGCTAGTTGAGGGACACTAACAGTGTGTAGATGAAATCTTAATCAACTTGCAATAAACCTGTTAGAGCATAAATACATTCAACAAGGTAAAGTATTCCATCAGTATGTTATATTGATTGACATGCAAATGTAATAAAAAGAAGAAATATTCAACATACATCTCGATCTAAGCATGAAACAATGTACTAGTCCTACAGAATCCTAAGAAAACCGCAAAAAACAGCTTAAGCTCTTCATAGTTGAAGCACCATCCTGAACTCTATCAAGAATGCAACACACAAGAATCATGATCAAGTTGGCTTGTTGGAGTCTTGGAGACCATAACCCACTGAGATCCAAGGGCAATCACCTAAAATAATATATAATGGTAAAGTTGCATCAAGTATCATATATAACCAACCAGCAGTAACTGCTTATAACCTAATCTAAGAACAAAATGGTATGTTTCAAAATAGACAATAATAAGTAACCATTATTCATAGTACAAGGATTAAAGAACACGATTGAGAAATAGGGTGGAGTATCCTAAATAGTTGTCACTGTGTCAACAACAAACTTCACTATTTATTCATCTAACGAGAATTGACAAACATGCTGATGTTATGATTTGGAACAATCTTAACCAGTTAACGGTTGAACGGTTGAGCCAGCCAACCTTGATTTGTGCTACTTATAGGGTAGATAGCACAAAAAGTGCAACACAACAAATATTGAAGTTCAGACTTTGAGAGATGTACTAACTAAAACTTTAAGAGATGTTGTAAAACTACTAAGTTCTCTATACGTTCTTACCTAAATTTATCCATTGGGGAAGCTCCCATAAGCCTCACGTTGATCATATCTGAAATCATGAGAAGACACTTAAAAATTTGTGACCAGGAGAATGGCTAGAGTAAATAAAACTAGTGGACCATAATGTTTGTTATTGAGAGTAGAGGATTTTTTTAACCTCGCAGCAGTAAACATCATAGAGGATACACAATGACGGAGAATGCATCATTACCTTTGAATTTGTGAACAAGTTCAGCCCTACTAAGTATAGATATGCTTGAACCTACAGAAGTATGCTTCCAGGAGCAAACTGCTGCATCAACAATGAAATGCATATATTTAGCATGTACATTAGCATCAGATTATTGTCTAAAGTTTAGAGTTTAAACCACATAAAATACAACATTCTTAACAAATTTTAAATTCCCTTGCATAAGGCCTTGTTCACTTTGGAGGGTACTAAAGATGATTGGAGGGAAATAATTCCACACCCCAGTAGGTGTGGAATAAATCCCCTCAAATCCCTCCTTGGGATTAACTGAACAAGGCCTAAAATGAGCCAGGATTCTTGCTATAAGGCCATGAAATACTATTATTAATAGCTTTTCAACCAAAATGAGACATAATTCTTGCTTTTGAATAATTTGCATATAATAATTAAAATAGCTACTCTTCAGGGTTACGATAAGTTCATCCTAAATGAACAATATCCCTTGGTACCACGTTTAAGAATGATGTACAACAACCACTTGAATGATTTTAGATTAGCATTGTAAGTAGGGATAGCATTGTAAGTAGCGCACTAGGCATCAGTCATATCCACTGCAAGCACATGATAATCACAGGATGCAGAGTCCGAAATTATGTACTCACCTTGTTTTTCCCAAATCACTGCATCATCCCAGAGCTCAGGCTTTGGCACCACCCTCTGCTGCACGGCTAAGAATGCTCGGCTACTACCGTGGATCCACCTGTCTATGCAAGCGCATTAAAGCTTGTGCCCAAGCCACTAATTGAGTCAACTAATAATCTCCAATAACCTGTCAGGTAAAAAAAAACATCACAGAAGTACATCATAAGAAGTATTTTCTTAATTTTATTAGGCAGTCAACTTATAATACAGGGACTATTTGAAGACCATTATGAAGCAATTTCACTACACTACAAGCCATCCAGCTCATTGTTGATACCAATGTAAGTAGTTAGACAAATTATTTTAATGTGGCTTGAGATGCCAAAGAGGACTGGTCGCTAATTGACTTGCTAAGCAGGTCTTGCTACTGCTGGTGGCTAATGATGCCGCAGCTATAATGCAGATGGCGGGGGAGGAAAAGGTCTTACCTTGCATGGCCAGGAGGCGACCATGGCGGATCTCGGTTGGGTTGCTTGATGAGGGGGCCGGTCGCGGTAGATCCATGGCATCCGGCTTGAGGAGGAGCCACGGCGGAGGTTCAGGCCATCCGACTTGACGAGGGGACGGCCGCGCAACAGATCTAGGATCCCAGGTTGAGGGAAAAGGACGCGGACCGGTGCTACACCGGCGTTGGTTGGGGAAAAGAGGAGGAGGCACCGGCGTCGATGCCGGCCACAGCTATAGCTCGAGAAGGTGGCGTAGGCGTTGGTCCTCGTTGCAGCTTGAGGAGCGGCGAGCGGGAGGAGGCTGCGGTGGTTCGGGAGAGCAGGCGAATGGGGGTGGCGGCTGAGAGTGGGAGGAGAAAGGGGTTGGTGAGGGTGCTAGGGTTCGGAATTTATATATGAAAGGGCAAGCAAATTTAGATCGTTGGATCTCCATCCGATGTACACAATTAACTGGCAGGTGGGCCCCGGTTTCTTCACATGTTCATATCGAATGGTTCCCGAGTTCCTTTATATGATGAGACTCGGTAAGTTTTCCCTCACCGCTAGTCCCACTGGTCAACGTGCTGCATCGGATGGATGGCGTCTGACGTTCCCTGGTGTAACTCACCAACACACGGTAATTCTCCTTGTTACGGGGTGCCTACATGGAACACCCGGTAAGACTGTAGTGTTACCTAGTGCCGTCCATTTACACCCGGCAACTTACCTAGTGTCATAGAAAGCACTATGTAACCTTGGAAGAGACTAGGGAGAGTCTCCCGATCTAGTAGTGCTACCTGGGAGTTGAAGAGATGTAATAATAAAATTAGGCCGGTAACTAATTAATTCTTGTTATAAAACATATGGTCGAGGGCGAAACCCAGTGTTCTTAAGTGTAGAAGTGCTTCCACATGTTCAAACTCTGGTTGGAGTTCAATCAAAATTTGAGTGAGCACTGCATTTTGAACCGATGCTTGAAATTTGGAACTGTAATACCGGAGAATTGACAGGAAAATTCAGTTAAAAATCATAAATACTGGTCTAGATCGACCTCATCAAAATGAATTTGTTTATAGCACTTCTCATGAAAGAGTTTTAGACTGGAATGAACAATACAAAATGGCCATGGATGTCCTGGTGCACCGAAACATATGTGACACAACAAGAATTCGTCAAAACAATCCTATACCGAATCTCTTCCGAATACCACATCCATTTTATACTTTTTTGTAGGATAACATCTCCATTCAATGCTAATCACCATATAAACTCAAGGCTACAGGCAACAGATCTTAACATATGAATTGTGAGAGCTAAGAGGCACTTGATAGTGCAGTGGTAATGGGTATGTGGTTTCAACTTTGAGGTCCCGTGTTCAATCCCAACACGCTCACAATTCCTCGAAATCTCTCTTTTTTCTTTAATCGTGAGAGTTGATCAAGAATGTGCAGAATCTTGCTACCAGCAAAGAGCAGCAGCTATCTATGATGCATGGAAACAAACACAAACAGTGTGGGCATGGAGGGCATCAAAACTACTATACGGTCAAGCTGTTTACTTCATCCTGTGTGATATCTGCCCATCTCCCGGATGTGTAGAAGCTTCCCCTATTTGAATCATGACCAAAGATTAGTTGTTGAATTTTATGGAAATTGATGTGATTGACATCTCAGTACATCTAGTAGTTTTATCTTTGCATATCCTCAATTTATAGGACATATATATAAGTATGTGCAATTGCCATCGCTATCAAATGTAACTTGAAAAAGGACAGATATTTTAAGTAACTTTTATTTGTGATGGTCATAATTAGGATCCGTCACAGACAGTAAAATGAGTAAAATAAAGATGTCGTCTGCTTAGCTAGTCACGGACCTTTATATGGGCATTCACAATTAAAAAAATATATCTAAGCACAGTCACATTCATTTGGGCATGAAACAAAATCATCCACATTCACATTCGTCTTAGGAACAAAATGAATCACATCCACATTCACATTCATTTGGGCACAAAACAGAATCTGGATGCAGGAACAGAAAACTCTTGCTATTTGCGACTTCGCTGCGGTGGTGCGCCTCTATTGCGGTGCTCGACACTAGAGGAGGGTGTCGATGGCAGTAATCACTGCCGCCAAAATCCCTATGCAATCTGAGGGCTCCTTTGGAAGGAAGGGGAGAAAACCCCTGGGAAAAAATTCCTCCAAGAGGATTTTCAAGGTGATATCCTCCCCCCTCCACCTCCACGGGAGGATTGGGAGGGCTTCCCCAGCTGGAAAGTTTGCCCTGTCCCTGTTTGGAAACATGGGGGGAGGGGGAGTATCCCGAGAAGGGGAGAAGAAAAATATATAGAAAACTCTGAAAAATTAACAGAAAATTAAAGCTATGCAAATCTGCCATGTTGGTAAAACCCTGTTTCGAATTTTCTTCAATATAAATTCACATAGGAATTACAAGTGGAGACAAGAATGAAAACATCTCATTCTTTCGAAAGGATCACAACTGAGAACTTCACTTAGGACATCCACAATGTGGGAATATGGGTGGGTATATGGGAATATGGGAAGAGGTCACGGATGAGTCAACTGTCAGAGTTATCACTTTTTAGTTGTTATCTCAATTGGGCCCTAAGTTGGTGCCCGTCACAGATGATCACAGATGATCATCTGTGACGGGCACCAACTTAGGGCCCGATGGAGATATGGAATGTTATCTCAATCGAGTCTAAACTACGGCCCGACACAGATAGGAGTCATCCTTGACGGGCCTGAGTATTATGCCTATCTAACATGTCTGTGCGACCATATCTCAATGGGGTGCTTTTTTGGCCCGATTAAGATGACTTTCTTGTGACGCCCAGCTAATTCCAGGCATGTTAGAGGACATCACGGATGGAAGGTTCTGTATTAGTGACCCTACCCCTATGAGCACCTTCGGAAGACTGGGCCGGCATATCTTGGGATTGACGAAGTCATCACGGGCGTCTTGCTATTGACGGATACGTCGCCTACTATGAAAGAATAATTAGCCGTATGTCTAACAATAGTTGACACCTAAAATTGAGTGAAAAGTATATTTAACATCGAGATTAGCACAAGTAGCAGTAGCAGTAGATTTTGAGGCGTTTTGAGAAAAACACCTACTAATGACAGTAATATTGAAGGAATGAATTAAATTTGCCTGGTAATTAATATTTTTTAAGAAATGGCTCCAACAAGAGATGCCTTCAAATCTCATCCATCCTGTAGTGACGTGGGCTCATTGGAAGCATGCCAAAAGTATTTCAGGCCCGAGGGGGTGAAATTATATTATGCCCAAATTTGTAGATGTATCAGAATTTCGGGAGAACATATCCTATGCACATTAGCTTTCCGTGCACACCAACTAACAAATGTCATATAAAATTCTAGAAAAAATTAGGCACGTACTTCCAATAGTATACACCAACGTGTGAAACGTTATCTTTAAATTCATTATATTTTAGCCGTAACAAAAAAAGACAAAATTCTGACATATTTTTACCCTAAAAAATGTCAAATTTTTCACCGTTTTATTACGGCTAAAATATAATAAATTTGAATACAACACCTTGCAGATATGTCTAATACTATTGGAAGCATGTGTCCATTTTTTTCTAGAATTCTCTGTGATATTTGCTAGCTAGTTGGTATGCATGAAGTGTGCACAGGAAGCTTGTATGCATAGGATATGTTCCCGAATTTCGGACCCACTGGAATTGATGCTCACACATCTGTTTGTCAGCCCATTAACTCAAACAACGACGCCCAATTGGCCACACATGATGATGATGATCAAATGGCAAATTAAAGTATGTTTCTTGTTAGTCGTTATTTCCTCGTTACTTCTGCCATATGTACAACATGCATGGATTGATGCATGCCATTTCATCGTTGAAAAGCAGTAACAGAAAGTGAAGAACACAGCTAGCATATGACACGATCACTGTTGTACAATGACGTCCTTTCTCCTTCTTTTTTCTTTTATGAAAAATACATATTGCCAAGTGTTGGAATTAATGAATGGGCCTTAGCCCACTCGAAAATTAATTCTTTGGAAAATCACAAAAGCCCACCTCATGGGATGGCATGCATGTGGAGTTTAGTACCACCTTGCTTATTCTAGGAGAGGGGGACCTTATTAAAAGGGAGGATGCCCTCCTAGTCACTTGAAGCATGTGTGGTGGAGAGAAGAGGGGAAACACACGCGCGCGCTCGCTCGCCTCGCCTGGCAGGGCAGGCGGCGCGCGTGCACGACGTACGCGTCGAATGGTCCGAAAAATTGGCTCCTCACCCTTGCGCAGATGCAGCCTCCTTTTGCAGTTTTGTTTTGCTGCAAATTCGGATTCGTTTTTGTTTTGGAAACGTTCCGAAAAATCCGGTGCGTGCAAACGGCGTGGAGTCCGGATAAGTTACGCGCGACTTATCCGGTTCGGTTACGCGCAGTAGAGATCGTGCGGGCGCCCTGATCAAGCGACCCTTCTCTATATAAACCGACCTGCCGTCTTCACGCAGCACACGCAAAATCAATCTAGGGTTTGCCTCCTACTCTGTACTGCGCCGTCGCTCGTAGACTACTCCATCCCGCTCGCCGGCGTGCACCAGCGATCGGGAGAGCAGGTCTCCGGAACCTCTGTCTTTGACGTCCTGCACCGGGAGAAGGCGGCAATAAGGTTTTTGGGAAGCGCTTCGCGCGACTGCTCCCTGTTCGTTCGCGACGGCTCGCCTTCCTCTTCGCTCGCGTGTTTCGTGCCTTCGTAGACACCTGCGAAAAGTTTCGACCAAGCAGCCGGTCTTTTCGTCACCTTGGTACGTGTTCAATATGTTGCGCATATTTGATCTGTTCATGTTATACTGTGTAGTTTACATGTGTAGATCTAATGATGCGTTCATGCTAGTTTTCATCTGTAATGTCATGATTTATTTATGGAATAGATTAAATCATTATATGTCTATAATCTCAACAATCCAAAAACCTTATTATAGGCACTGTGATTTTACTTTGGCTGGTTTTGCCGATGCACTGAGGCCGGATAAATTCACCGGTGTGCATTTTAAGAGATGGCAGATCAGGGTCACTCTGTGGCTGACAGTTATGAAATGCTTCTGGGTGAGTACTGGCAAACCTGAAGGAGTTCTTACTGCTGAACAGCAGAAGCAATTCGAGGAAGCCACTACTCTCTTTGTGGGATGCATTCTTAGCGTTCTTGGCGATCGTCTGGTCGAGGTGTATATGCATATGACCGACGCTAAGGAGTTGTGGGATGCACTGAATACTAAATTCGGTGCTACTGATGCTAGCAATGATCTGTATATCATGGAGCAGTTTCATGACTACAAAATGGCTGACAACCGTTCTGTAGTCGAACAGGCTCATGAGATACAAACCATGGCTAAGGAACTCGAACTCCTTAAGTGTGTTTTACCCGACAAATTTGTGGCCGGGTGCATTATTGCAAAACTACCTCCATCTTGGAGGAGTTTCGGTACTGCACTCAAACACAAGAGACAGGAATACTCCGTTGAGGGGTTGATTGCGTCTCTTGATGTTGAGGAGAAAGCTCGGGAAAAAGATGCCGCGTCTAAGGGCGATGGTGGGCAGTCCAGTGCCAATGTTGTGCACAAGGCC